TAGAAGTATAAACAGTCTCATAAAATCTCTTTGTAGGAGCTCTAATTATGTTGGTTATATCAGCCAGTGGTTCTTTTAAATCTGAGGTTGGGCTATCGTTAACTTCCATCTCATGTTCAGTAATTTGTAATGTTCCTTAATTGCATTTGTCAAGATACTATTTTTTTTTTCTTCTTCGGCGCCTTTAATTTTATCTTCATTTTTTTTTATAGTTTTGGTCATATTATGTAATAAGTTATCTTTTTTATTTTTTCGACGTTGAAGTCTTTTCTTGTATTTTCGTATTTTTTTCTGTAATTCTTTTACATTGTCTTGGAGTTTCATATTTTGCCTATAAATTTTCGATCTGTCTCGTCTAACTTTTTTTCTACCCCTTGCTCTAGCAGTGGATGAGATTGAAGTTAGTGAACGAGATCTAGGACTTAAAGTAAGTAACCTGGGGCTTGAAGGAACAGTTGTGGAAGCCGGAGCATTCATTAGAACGTTCTGCAAAGCTTTCTGTTGTTCTCTTCTCTTCTTGTTTCTAACTTGCCATTTTCTTTTCATTTGTCTGTGATCTCTTGGTGTCATATCTTTGACTAGCTTTTTGCGAGTATGACATCTTTCTAAGTCTTTTCGTTTCACTTCTGCAACTTTTTCGGGGTCTTGTTTCCTTTTTTCACGACAACGTCGCTGCCTTTCCGCCGCAGATAACGCAATTTTTAATTACCCCGATGATAATACCTTAAATTAATAAAATAATCGATAATGTAATATATAGAACACAAAAAATATTAACTAACTATTGTAAAAATCAATCAATGCAAAGTTCAAGACAAAAATTACCACTTCGTCACGAGTTATGCCACTCCGTCACAGTTTATTTGTGACAGAGGTGCGTCGTGACAGAAGTGTAAAATAATAGTGTTCGAGGATTTTAGCGTTCACAAAATTACAAATTGTTCGTAAAAGTGGGTGAATATGACAGATTTGCTGGGAAATAATAATATTACATATATAAATATTAATTACAATAAAATTTCAAAGTAGTACTTATCTCTGTTCACTTCCTGCAGGCGACTAACTCGGCTCGCTCCCGGGTGAGGCCCCAAAGCGTGAGGCCAAGGGGGAAGAGGAAACCGTACTGTTGCTTAGTGTTGAAGGTGAAACAGCTAAGAAGCGTTTTTTGTTTTGCGAAATGCGTGACGGAAGATAGCAAGAAAAAACATACATAGCCGGACCCAACGATAAAATATTTTTTTGTTTAATAATATGAACCTTTACGTTTATTATATTCAATCAATGTAATGATAATATTTCAGAAGTTCAATAAATAATTTTATATTAAAGGATTCCATATGATTTTTTTAAGCGAGATCATTTTGTAACATTAGGCGGCGCAAAGAGACAAGTTTTATTTGTATGTAAAACATCTCTGTCACACATTTCGAATACTATGTCACAATGATTTTGTAAAAAGCAAAAAAAAATAAAAACGGAATTTTAGTATTATTATAATCTCAGTATGGTCCAAAAAAATCTTGTCGAAATAAAATTTGAGAAACTGCAATTTTGGACAAAAACCGATTTTTTTTCAAGAAGAGACACGTCATTGTCGGTAGAAAACTAGAACGCCCCATCTACAATATTATAGAAAAGAATGGGAAGAACAGTTTCCAGGCTGGCTGCAAGATAGTCGTAAAGACGAAAGCTATGCCTATTGTAAGAGTTGTAATAAAGATATCAACATCACATCAGGAAAAGACGCTACAAAGAAACATAGTTCTTCACAAGCACATTCAGTATCATCAAAGAATATAAAATCACAACCGAAGATATCATCATTTACTGTGACCAAAACTCAAAAATCTGATACACTGGTTAAGCAAGGTATTTTTTTTTTATGATACTACTTACATTGGTATATTATTTTGTTTTCTACTTATCGGTTTATAGAAGCAGTGGATATAATTAGACCCTAATCGCTACTAGATATACCTACATAATTTTAATTCTTTATTTTAATTTCAGGTGAAATAAGATTGAGCCTCGTTTGTTGTTGAACACAATCTACCATTCACTATTATGGAGCACCTGCCGAAGCTGATGCAAGCCGTTTGTCCTGATTCAAAAATAGCAGAAAGTAAGTGTATTGGCATAGTTCATTTCATTCATATTTTGTTTTTATTATTATATTAGTATTTATATACATATATTTTCAACTTTAAACATTTTAATTTTACTGTATCATTTTTTATCTCATGTTTTCAGACGATGATTCGTTTCATTCTGCAAACGATTCCGTTGGGGTCTCTAGCGTTGATATTATGTTATATTCTTATACGGAATGACAGACCCGATAAGAGAGGGACACCCGCAGCTCTTTCTCTTATAAAATTCTAACCACTTCCACCGCAACTAGCACCGCTTTAGCTGAATACCTTTTCCTTGAGGTTTGCAACATTTTGCCCCCGGATTTTCCCACCATGACTTCATCTACCTGTCCTATTCCTTAAAACCTCCCAAACCTTGTCCTAAGGTTCTGCAAATTCGCTGCCTCGGACGGATGAACGAAGAAAGACTTAGATATGATGCCTCAAACTTAAATTGGGAACCCGTGCTGGAAGCCGCTACAGTAGACGATAAAGTTCAGTTGTTCAACACGATGTTAACAAACCTCTACGATCAACATGCGCCAGTCACGAAAACTAAAATTAAACGTCCTCAAGCCCCTTGGTTAACTGTAGCTATTCGAGAGGAAATGCATCGTAGAGTATTATTATCGGAAATTTCGGAGAAACCGCTGCGACGAAAACTGGGATTTTTACAGAGTTGCAAGAAATCGGTGTAACCAGTAATGCTAAACGCCGCCATATTCTTAACAACCTTAATTGCACAACAGCTTCAAGTATCTGGAGGTTCCTGGGGACCTTGCGTATCGGCAAGTCTGAAAAACATAATCTTCCGCCGACCTTTGATTTGGATGATATTAACCGTCATTTCACCTCCTCATCGCAGTTCGATCGCCAAATCAAGGCTCGGACGTTACAGTTCCTGGCGGATCTGCCTCGTCCCAATATTGAAGCTTTTGAGTTTTCTCCGGTTGAACCAGATGTGGTCAAAAAGATTATCCTCTCTATCAAATCCAATGCAATGGGAAGTGATAACATTAGCCGTCGCATGATTATTCCCATCCTCGATCACCTTCTTCCTGTGTTTACGCATATAACAAATTTTTCGCTTGATTCGGGGATTTTCCTCATAGCGTGGCGTAAAGCATTCGTCACTCCCTTTCCCAAGATCACGAATCCTACACTCCTTAATCACCTTCGCCCTATATCCATTCTCCCCTTCCTCTCTAAAGTCCTCGAGGCCAGCGTGAACCAACAACTATCCCAACACATTTATCGAAACAACCTACTAAGCCCTTTTCAATCGGGGTTCAGGCCCGGGCATAGCACAACTTCTGCTCTGCTAAAAGTGACTGCTGACATCCGAGCAGGAATTGAAAAATCCAAAGTAACAGTGTTGGCTTTGGTTGACTTCTCTAATGCATTCAACTCCGTCAGTCACGATATCCTTCTATCCATCCTGTCCTATCTTTTGATTACGCCTGATACACTGGACTGGTTCTCGTCTTATCTTCAGGGGCGTCAACAGTCTGTCCGCGTCGATTAATCCTCTTTAGGTTGGCGTGAACTCGACTGTGGCGTCCCTCAAGAGGGCATTCTCTCTCCTCTATTATTTTCAATATTTATCAACCTCATCACTCCAAACCTTTAATGTGCGTACCATCTTTACGCGGATGATTTGCAGCTCTATTATCAAGCCTCAATAGACAACATAGATGAAGCCATCTTGATGTTGAACAACGACCTGGGGGCTATTAATGATTGGGCTAATATGTTTGGTTTGACTGTGAACCCAGTGAAGAGTCAAGCCATCATCATAGGCAGTCAACGTATAATTGGAAGGTTAGACCAAGGTAAACTGCCACCCATTACCTTTAACGGCATAGTCATCCCTTATAGTCCTGCCGTTAAGAACCTAGGCCTAATAATCGACTCCAAGCTTAGCTGGCAAACCCAGGTCACGAGCGTCAGCCAGAGTCACTTGTACGCTACGGGCCCTTTATCGACTCAAGAATTTCCTCCCCTCCGAGACAAAAGCGATGCTTGTACAGACCCTTATTGTCCCCATCCTGGATAATGGTGATGTATGCTATTATGACCTGAATGCAGACCTACTCAATAAATATGACCGCCTTCTGAATAACTGCATTCGATTCGTCTTCAACCTTGGCAAATATGACCATGTTTCCTCCTTTTGGACTTCTTGGAATTGAACTGGCTCACAATTCGCCAGTGCCGACACCTGCGCGCCCTCACCACTCTCTATTCCATTATCTACTCACCCATTTCCCCCTCCTACCTGACATCTTCATTCCAATTTCTGTGCTCCAACCACGATAGAACCCTCCGGTCAGCTAACAATCCTCTTCTGCTCTGCCCCACTTATACTTCCGCTTGTGTCCACTCCTCGTTACTAATTCAATCCGTACTCTTCTGGAATGCTCTCCCTCTCGAAGTCAGGATAGCACCCAGCCGCCTCTAGAGCTTTCTAGAGCTCGCATCCTGGACACGCTAGCAGATTCATCACAACCTTGAAATTTTATATATTATTGATTTTTAGGCTTCTGTATGTATGTTGCTATATAAGTATTTGTGTATGTGTATGTATTTGGTACGTATGAATGTATGTATATTTATCGCATTACTTCTACCTAACTTATCAATCATTTTCTTTTACTTCTCCTATTAATGTCTAGTGCACCTAGCTACACATTTCAGCACCACCCTAAAGTAGACTGGGAGAAAATGCCTATAGCATTAAGTCCGCCAATGTACAATTTGTGCATAAAGAATAAAAAAAATACATATATGTCAGAAACGTTCTTACACATCGATGTCTCAAAAAATACGGAACCATCTCAACGTCTCAGTAATAGATCTAAAAAACGCATGGAAAACCCTACGCCTCAGAATAATTCTATCACCTTAAAACAGCTTTACCTGAATCCTTTACCCATCAGTGAAGCTAAAAAGAGAGATCTTCTCAGTTTATGCACTAAGAAAATAATTCCTGAGGAATATCATGGTTGGTACTCTTCTTTACCAACTGCAACCAATGAAGCAGATCGTTTACCTGAAGCTTCGGTTGACGAAGAGTCATCGGAAGATTAAGATACTTTAATTCATTGAATTAAAAGTCGTTCACCCAATAAAATTCGTCTTAAATACAGTTTGATTTTTCTTCATTAGTGATCAAAGTTTGATTGCCATAATTATGTGATAAGTAATAAAATAGATTGATTGTCTCATTTATTATCGTGCTATAGATTACCTATGTAAATATTAATTTATTTTTATCTATTATTAAATTGATCACTTTGTAGTTAATTTAATACATAATAATACACATACTGGTACAGGTAAAAAACAGGTTAAATGTGGCAAAAATATCAATATCTTAGGAAAGCTAAACAATAAGCTATTATAAAAAACTGAAATGAGCTTTTGAAATCAATGAGTTCGGTAGATATAACATATTGGTTAAGTACAGGTAAAACATATTAAATGCGACCCCCTTTCAATCTAAATTAAATTTTATGCAGTTTTTACGTACACCAAATATTATATATGAGTAAATCTGAAAAGTGAGATAGTTATTGCAACATTTTGCTTTAACAGTCTTTTAATTAAAGAGTTTGAATTAGATCAAATCAAAACTTACGTTTTGATTTGACTTTAAAAAGTCATTTACTCGAATTGACACTAACTGCACTTATTATAAAATAGACGATAAAGCTTACGACGACTTATAAAGCAGACGATATTATAGGTAAAGAAAGTTTCAATAATTTATGTGAAGATCTAGGGCAACTAAGTTTTCGCTTATTATTGAGGAGTCCACTGATCTTAGTACAACCAAACACTTGTGCTTAGTCGTGAGATATGCGAAAATGAATCGTATTAAAGATTGTTTTTTAACTCTTATTCCATTAGAAGAAGCTAATGCAGCAACCTTATTTGAACACATTGTAAACTTTTTTAGAAGCAATGATATTCCATATAAAAATAATCTAATAGGTTTTGCATCTGATGGGGCAAACGTAATAATTCTGTAGTAACATTGCTGCAAAATGAAATTCCCAACATTTTTATACTTAAATGCGCCTGCCATTCATTTCATCTTTGCGCGTCATATGCTTGTACCAAATTGCCACGCTTTATAGAGGATCTTGTAAGAGACATTTACAACTACTTTTCTTCTAGCCCAAAAAGAGTGGCAGAGTTCAAAAACTTTCAAATGTTTGCGACTTAAAAGTCCATAAAATACTTCACCCCTCTCAAACACGCTGGTTATCAGTACATGCAGCAGTGAAGAGAATATTGGAACAACTCTCTGCTCTAAAACTATTTTTTATATACCAAATCTCTAATAATTATCATGTTTTAGTTGCAGAACATACATTACAGAAGCTCCAAGATCCCACTTCGATATTATTTTTGGAATTTTTAGATTTTGTATTACCATTATTTACCGATTTAAATAAAGAAATGCAAGCAGAACACACGAAAATTCATAATTTATATGAAAAAATAACTGGAACATTAAAAACTATTTTTGATTGTTTTTTAAAAAGAGAATATTTAACTAGCACTCCAATCGAAAATGTTGATTTTAAGAATCCCAGAAATTTTATGGATATTGACGCCGTATACTATGGTGCTGGTGCGTCTAATACACTACTAAGTAGTTCAGAAAATCTAAACTCAGATCAAGTAAATTTGTTTAAATGCGGATGCCTAGATTTTTATATCGAAGCTTGTAAGCAAATAACCAACCAAAAATTGGTTCTTTTTGTTGTTTTTATTGTAATATTAGTGCGAAATATAATTTAAATATTACTGTGACTCGAAATGTTATGTTAAGATCCTGCCTTAAGATGAAAGAAGAAATTGAGAAATTTGTTTTTGAGAAATTTTTTATTGAAAATCAATTATTTTATTTATCATTTATATGTTCGGTAACATTTTATTTTAAATAAATTTACGTAAATAATTACAATTTGAACTCATTTCAATAGTTGTTGTTGTTGTTGCTGTTTCACTGAACATTAATTAAAACGAAACGTTCCATGGCGAAAATTCTATATAATCTGTGGTAGAGATTTACAAAAATTTACATAAATATTGCGAAAATAATTGATTTTCAATATTTTTTTTCTCATAAACTACGCGTCGCCGCGTGTTGAAAATTTTACGTGTGTGCTTATAATAATGAAACCATTCTGTAAAAAAAATATCAACCTCCAACTCGATGGACGTCAATGTAAAATGTCAATGTTACTACTTACGAAACAAACGAAACCATTCTATTTGACTCTTTACTTAATCAATAGACTCTTTTTTTCTCTGATAAAGTTTTAACTTGTTCTAGCTATGGTGATATTACGAGGCCCCAGCAAGGGCCTCAAGGCCGAATAAAAGCTGACCGACTGTAGCTGGAACTGGAAGGGTTATAGTACTTCACAATTGGAGGCGTAATAAAGTAGATGGACAAATGGAAAAAAGTCCTACAATCTTACAATTCATAACTTAAGAGATGATAAAGCTACTTGTTACATGTGGGACGAAACCATCGGTGCTCGAGGAGCAAATCAAATTGCTTCGTGTTTGTGGCATTTTTTACAAAATTTTTAAAAAATGATGTTCATGTATTTATTGCATGTGCATCCAACCCTAGAGACAATCAATCATAAGTTTTTGATTAGCGGACATAGCCACATGGAATGTGACTCGGATCATGCCCTAATCGAAAGAACTAAAAATAAAACGCAGCTTAAAATAAATTCATCTTAACGATTGGATGCAACTGATAAGATCTTGCAAGATTAATAACGGATCTGCCATTGTACCCATAAAACTAAAAAAAAATCTAAATTTTGCAGAATTGAGTTCCAAGAAAGGTCCATTTACAATTAAAAATAAGGATGCTAGTGGTGAAATTTTTTTATGACAACCAGTGAAGTGGCTGCAATATAAGAAACCTATCGGAGAAATACGTTTTAAGACAAATCTTGACAACGAAAGCTCTTTTAGAGTCATCAATTACAGGAAAAGAGGTAAATTCAATTTAGACACTATGGAATTAGAAGTTGTTTCAGAAGAGACTTTACCAATAAGTTAAGAAAAAAAGAAGGATTTGATGGATTTATTGCCACTGATAAAACCTATTTGTCACGAATTTTATAAAAACATTAAAACTGATAGTGAAGTATCCAACATCGATCCTGATTTAGACTCCGAAGACCCTGATGCAGGAGGAAACGGAGAAGAATTCAACGAATTTTATAATATTTTAACTTTGTTTTCGGAATAAAAATAATTATTTTGCAATTTTTTGTTTCTTAATTACCTATACATACCTATACACATACCTACATACATAATATCACGATTTCAGTCCCTTAAGAGGTAAGCAGAGAGTATACTTATTCCTTACGATTTTTTTACACACGTACGGGAAGTACGTGTGTAAAAAAATCGTATAAAGGTAATAAAGGTAATAGGTAATAGGTAATAGGTCGTAATAATAGGTCGTAATAATAGGTAATAGGTCGTAATAAAGGTACTTAGGTGAACAACTTGATAACTCATTGGTGAACAACTTGATATGTCATTTTTCTACTGTAAATACAGTAAATTCACTAAATATTCTTATGTTATCTGAAAACTCCAAGCAAATGAATTACATTCAGATAAAAAAGTATTCAATAACATAAAATCAGAATTTACAGATAAAACTTAAACTTAAAAATGGCTGCCCTGAAAAATTAGTAGGTTCGATTTTTCAAGTTATTCACGCCTGGTACGGAAATATGTAATCAATACTGCTTTTAGTTCTTGAAATATTGTCTGTTATTTCAGTCTTCTTTGTACTTTTTGTTCTTTTCACCTCCTCCATAGTTATTTATTTTCCTTTCTTCTATCTTTCTCTTTTGAATATCCCTCGTCCTACATTGTACTCTAGTGTCCTATAATCCCACATTTTAAGCACTTCTTTCCTCTTGCCGGGCAGTGTTTATCGTATTATGTTTAGTACTTCACAATTAAATGCCCGCAATTTAATGCCCACAATTTAATACCCGCAATTTAATGCCCGCAATTTAATGCCGCAATTTAATACCCGCAATTTAATGCACGCAATTTAATGCCCGCAATTTAATGCCCACGTTATACCAATATCGCAATTTAATGTTATTAAATCACTTGGTAAATTTTACTCGAATACCTTTTAAGCAATTTAATGCTCAAAACACTTTGTCAGAATTTAGTCTTTATGGTAGTTTCGCAATTGAATGCCCTTATTTCCAATAAATCATTTCCCATGACTTATTATTGTAATCATGTTTTATTTTTTTTAATTATTATCATTAGGAAAGGTTACAAACACTATAAATAGATAGGGTATCTAAGTAAGTTCAATGAATGTCAATAACAAGCCTGTACAATTAGTCTAAAATGCGATGGCATCTTTGAACAGTTTAGGTACAGTTAATTTTGAGAATGAGTACCTAACAGATGTTTTAACAGGATTAAGTCAACAATAGAATGCCAACAAATAAATGTTTACAATATATAAACAAATTGTCTCGTCTTGGCGGAGGCACTGCTAGGTGGTAACGTAAGACTTAACAATAACAAAACATGAGCAAGACATACTATGAAAAAATGTTTAACTATCTAATGCGGCATCCCATGGATATACCTTATATTAATATTACGAACTACCTTTAACTTTTCAATGTAATATTCAAGAATTTCTTCTATGGTTATTCCATAAGCATTCTTTTTTTTTTTTCTTTTTTTTTTTTTTTATAATTATCATAAATGTCTACAAATTAATTGTAATGGAATATAACAATGACAACCTTGCAGCAAATATCTTGATCATATAAATTTTGGTTTGCCGCGATAAATTGGTATACTCTTAATACCATAGTTTTATCTGATACATATAAAGTTAACTAGGTTAGTGTGAATTGTATGTAATTGAACAGAATGGAATAGAACAATGTTCATTGTTGTAAAATACTCACAGTTGTTATTTTTTTATCTCGTCGCCACTTGTAATGTACACTTGTTTTGTTATAAGTATTTATGTTTTGATATTATAA